CGGAGGTGTGGCGTTGAAAGCCGTGCATCGTCTAACGTCGTTTCAGTTCGGCAGACTTCGGCACTCGGCAGACTTCGGCACGGTGTTTGTGTGCGTTCGACTAGACGTATGCGTGTACACTAGCTGCTAACTCAATGATAAAAATTCCTGAATAACCTACATGTATTGTAAGATATTAAAAATATTTTAAACAATATTAACTTCTCATTTATTCAATAAGAGAAAAAAAAATTGTTTTCATATCGGTCACCACGCTCAAAAAGTGTAACTTGATTTAATATCAAAGACTTAACTGCATAAATAAAATAAATAAATAGTTATAATTGCATAAGTTGATAAAAAATGCTATGCAATAGCTTTACCGTGGCAGTCACCGAGTGCCACACGTATTTTTTTTTATAAAACTTTTATTAAAAAGTAGGAATAAAATAGTTTCCACATAAAAACATCGTAGAATAGAATAGAATGATTTTATTCTATGTAGATTTTACAGGTAATTCTTATTGAAAGTGATTTTTTACATTTAGTTCGGAAAAAGTTACCATAAGTCATTGCATGCTTTTGCATTCTCTTGCATGCTCTTGCATTTCTCAAAATGTTGAATAGAAGAATTAAAGTTTCGAGCATTTTTGAAAATTTGAAATTATGTTATTAGTTGTAATTGTTTGAAGTTGTTTTTTATTTTGGACGAAGGAATATCATAAGTTCTAGATAAAAACCACAATGGGGGGAGGGGGCGGGTCTAAATCAGTTAAAAACTGCATCCCCCATTTTCCCATCCTTAGCAGCATACAATAATATAAGTATTAAAAAAACTTAACACGCACTGATCTCAAGCTGTGATTATCCTGATTATTATTTTATTTTATCCTGGTGACCTTGTTCAGGATAATAGGATAAAGTTATTACATTTTTATATTGTTGTCGGTCCTTTTTTATAGAAAAAGGGTGACAAACGCACACAGTCCACCTGATGGTAAGTGGATGCTGTGGCCCATAGATATCTACATTTATCTTCAGTTAAGAATCAAAATGCAAATTCGTTGTCACCCCTGAGGACTGAGATGGAATACCTCGTTTCCTGCAAAAAGGATCTCCGGTTCCGGTATTGTGTGAGAGCGTGGTCCTACCCCGGTCGTGCTGCTACCACAATCCTTGATGCGAGTGCAAATTTTTCAACTCAATAAGCCGTCTACAAGTTGGTGAAAATTACATTAAAATATTACGTTACATAGATACACGCGAAGCTAATAGAAGAGTGTTAAAAAGAACATACATAGAGTCAAATCTTACACACATACAAACGATTATTGATCCATTTAAATATCTGTTTCAGGTCATTCTAGAACAATTATAGGATACGAAAAGCACAAAGACGGCAAAGCGACCTTACTAGTCTTAGATCCATCACATTCACCAGCTCAAGTAAGTGTCAACCTTATGTTTCTGACCGAAGTTTTATTTTCATTTATTTAGTCGTTTATTTTTTAAATAAAACTGAAATGCCAGATGAATTATCCATCTGATAGTACGAGAGCGACACTGAAAGTTTTTAGAACGAGCCACTTGTAAACGATATAATAAAACAATAAGTTAATATTTTGAAAATTGAACTCTTTGCCAATAATATTGTGTATATATTTTATTAATTTGTCATTTGTTTACAATTTGGCGGCAAAGGAGAATGCACATAGATGTATGGAATCTCGTACCAAGTTGCATCAAAATCAAACTTTGTTTTTTATAGACTACACTGATCCTATTAACTCCTACAAAAGTCCTTTTTGAAAAAAAAAACCGGGTCTTGGAGTTATTTTATAAAATCGAAAATAACTTAAAAACTATTACGTCAATTTTTCGATGCTACCAACGACCTATTTTAAATTGACACTTTAAACATTGACAAACATTATTGCTCTAAAATCAATACTAACAAAAATAAAATCCAATAATATTAGTAATCCATTTATATTAGTAAGAATTACGAGTCATAGCAACACATAGCCGCGCCATCGGATGCGTGACTGAAACTCGGATATTTGCCCGACCTTTATACATATTGCCAACACTGTGAGTGGGTAACGTATCTAAAGGTAATATGTATATAATTGGACGCCACCGCGATCACATTACCACACCAATATCAATAATACGTTATCATAAGTGTGACCACTCAGACCGAAAAAAGCTCGTTGAGTCTAGAGTGTCTTTAAACCTTTAATTTTTTTTGCGCCCGAAGCAAATATGGGCAACCCTCCGGAAAGCGGGGGAGGGAGGCGGTGAATGCTCATAGCATACCATGCAGCCGGCTGCGTGGTTATGTGGAGACTTTTACCCACTAAACACAGCCTTTATGGATTGGCTTACCGATATGACGAGAGATCTCTAAGCCGTATACGAACGCGACCCTCCTTGGCAGAAAGGAGGGCGCAGAACCCTTTAATCCTTTAATCTAAGATACTTTACTATTCATGACAGACACTATTGCTCAAGCTCATGTTGTTGTGAATCGATTAGGTAAGTGATAGAAAAAATAAGACAAACAAGTCCATTTGGGTTTTTGAATAGCGATTTTAAGTCAAAAATATTTATTTAAAATATATTTACTTTAATCATTCATCATACTCCTGAAAAAAATTATCTAAAGCCGTTCCCGGCGCAGTTACGTCATTATACCGACCCCAGCTCAAATACCACACTATCGTCATTATATGAGCACAGCAGCCTACTGTTCGCTTACCGACAAGGCAGCTGCAGCAATAACCTACTGTGGTTTCTAAAGTGTTGGCCACAGCATCATCTCTGCTAATCAATAAATATGTGTGATAATTACGACTGTTGACATGTCTAGATTTAATCCTACCTATTAAGAGGTAATTATTAAGACCCAAAATCAAAGGTACATCATCATCGATAGTATTATTCACCTCAACTGAATAAATACCATAATGATTTCTTATATTTACGCGAACACTACACATTGAAATAATACTAGTTATTACGGAATTTATCGCGTATATTTAACTTTTTAATTACCCGACGTTTCGAGAGCTTTACAGCACCCATGGTCACGGGAAGGACTGAGATGTTCAACGTCCAGCTGTCATAGTTAACCGCGGTTACCATAGATTAAAATTTAACTTTTGTTCCGATCTACACAGTATGAACTTATGGTATCATGGAGTCTTGCAGTTGTATGCTTGGGTTGGGATTTAATTTTATTTATTATAGGATCCCAAGCAGATGGTAACACCCAGCCATCTTCTCTATTGAAATTAGGATGTTTTTTGATTTCAATATCCTCGCGAATCATCCTTGGAAGGAATCGGTGTTCTTTAGCGAGGATTTGTGGTCTATCAAATCTGATGTAGTGACGGGGGCGATCCTGTACATGTTGGAAGTCTGCAGTCTGTGAACATGTACAGGATCGCCCCCGTCACTACATCAGATTTGATAGACCACAAATCCTCGCTAAAGAACACCGATTCCTTCCAAGGATGATTCGCGAGGCTATTGAAATCAAAAAACATCCTAATTTCAATAGAGAAGATGGTTGGGTGCTACCATCTGCTTGGGATCCTATAATAAATAAAATTAAATCCCAACCCAAGCATACAACTGCCAGACTCCATGATACCATAAGTTCATACTGTGTAGATCGGAACAAAAGTTAAATTTTAATCTATGGTAACCGCGGTTAACTATGACAGCTGGACGTTGAACATCTCAGTCCTTCCCGTGACCATGGGTGCTGTAAAGCTCTCGAAACGTCGGGTAATTAAAAAGTTAAATATACGCGATAAATTCCGTAATAACTAGTATTATTTCAATGAATAAATAACAGTCCGACGGATGTGTTCCCCATAATAAGATCTAGCCTGTTTGAGTTGGTAAGTCCGAAGAGCTAACCGTTTTGAATCAGTCATTGTCAAATGTGCAAATCCATCTAAATGTGGATTATTGCTGTCAATCAACTGAAAATTCACACTCCTATTGAGATTTGCTTGTTCAACATAAGTTGCCAAATGGTTCTCCTAACCTTAGCAATTCTTACATATTCCATGGCTTCAGGTGGGTCTTCTATAACAACATGAATCTTATTAATTAGGGCACATGAGATTCTAAAATCATCCTTTAGTTGCAAAACCGCTCTATTGTTAAAAACATGACGAAAGAGTCTAAAATCCCTTTTCAACCTACCATTAACCACTTCTACAACCCAGCGGCACATAGTAACAAAATGAGACTGATTTGCCTGCTGGGTTGTTTATTGATCTTCATTCTCAAGTACACTCTGGCATATGTGTTACGAAGCCATATCCCTGGAGTTCATTAATTACATCCCTAAATCCTCTATCAAGTATGAAAACGTCACCTCTTCGGAAAAATGATCTTAAAGAAGCTTCCTCATTACGTAAGTTTAAACTTGTAACTGTAGCATCATTAGTTGTGGCCTTGTACGGTCCGAGACAATCCACAATATGACCATCACAACACACTATCATAAATGGTTTGACCAAATTATTCAGTTTTTGCAAATTGTATGTTTGTTTTTGAAATAAGTAATTAGAACTACTTTGGATAAATACATAAGTACCATCACATATGACTATTGATGGTTTAGAATTAGGTAGCAAATCAGGATTACCAAATAATCCTTCTGGTATTGTTCTATTTCTAGAAGCAACATCTTCAACATTCATATGATTAAATCCTAAATACAATGGAACAAACTGTTATTCTGGCCTTATTCATTAAGCGTTCCAAGGTGACACGAAATTTATTAAAGAGAGTTGCCAACCTTTCATTACTATCACCAGTTCTAAGCTTTACTATGTAAATCCTTAAAACAACCGTTGGCATTTGGTACTTGTCCTGCTAGACTTGGGATACAGTTTAACAAATCATTAAACTGATCCGAGTTCATGCCCAACCAAAAGTGACACAAATATGTAGGCATAATTAAAATATTTGAGAAATCTAAATGGTAATAGGCAACTCGCTGCATTATTCTCATAATTGAGTCGAATTGACTACCAGTAAAATCTTTTAGGTAGATAGATTCGTGCTGCTGGTGGCACATAGAATTTATTATTAAGTAATAACAGATCCTTTATAGATGAGGGTACTAGTAAACGTTCTGTTTCAAAACAATTAACAAATATACAGTGATTGGATGTGCTAGCCGCACGCTTATACACTGAAGACCTAATTGTTGGATTTGATCTAACATGAGTAGTGTGTATTAGGTTTTGTTGTGGAAGAGGGGGCGGCTCAGGAATATTGAGATCGCTACTTGATCCAACATCAGGTAAAATAGCTTCTGACAGACTAGGGCGATTGGAGTCGTGCTGATCACGACGTTGCAATTCTCTTGTAGCTGATCTCCAGCAAGCAGCACATACTCTTTCCAATCTTGATATCTAAAAATAACACAATTAAACATGTAATATGAAACATTTCACAATGGGATATAAACTTGATAAAAGTGTGGATTGTAATGTGATATAAATGTTAGGGATACATTTTTTTATAAGATAGGATGACAAACGAGCACAAAGTCTACCTGATGGTAATTAGTATTTGCTGTGGCCCATAGACATCTACATCCATTCTCGATTACAAATCAAAATGCAGATGCATTGTCACCCCTGAGGACTACGATGGAATGCCTTGTTCCCAGTAAAAATGATCTCTGGTTCTTTACACCCACTATACGAAACACAGCAGCATTAAGCTGCTATTTGACGATGCTATTCTGTGAGAGCATGGTCCTTACCCAGTCGAGCCGACCCCTTCATGCTACAAATATACTACTAATATAGTTAATATACTACTAATTTAGTTGCAGGATGGCTCTCCATGTATGATAATGTTCAGGCAATAATTGTGTTAAAATAGATAATATTATCTAATACCCACAACATTATTTATTTGTGAAACCTTCACTTATTGGGACTCAATATTATAAACACATCTAATTACAGTATTATAACTAAAATCTGTAGAAGACTGGAGAAACTAAGAACATTAATAAGAAGTTGATCTTTTTTTTATATTGCAAGATAAATAAAAATATTTACCAGATGCCGCGGAACATGTCTAACTAAAATGTTTCTCTCTTGTCGATCTTGTCTTACAGGATATGTTCTAGTTGCACATAGAATAGAATTGCCACAAGTAAAAGTTATACTTCTATGACCAAAAGCAGGCAATCCTTCACTAATTGTGTTTGCTTGATCTTGAAGCAGTGTCAAACACTCTGTATAAAGCACACATTCTGAAGACAACTGCAATAAAAACCATGAAATAAAAAGTGTGTTTTTAACCTTTTTTGACATTATCTGTCTTCTGTAACATATTCACAGAAGTTACATTTACGTAGGCGGTCCCATAATGAATTGGCCTAACTATGAACCAATGAAGGAAATGAAACGAAACCAATTTTATTTTTCAATATAATCACCATGAATACTATCACACTTCTGACATCTGTGAATCAACATCTCTAAACCTTCATAAAAATAATCACATTTTTTATCCTCAAAATGACTGAAGACGGCTGCCTGCAACTCTTCATCGCTTGAAAATTTTCTTCCTCTTAAGTCCCGCTTTAAATTTGGAAATAAATAATAGTCGGACGGGGCTATGTCTGGACTGTAAGGTGGATGTTGAACTTCTGTGAACCCGCATTGACGAACTGCATCCTTCGAAACACCAGCGGTATGAACAGGGCGTTGTCATGGAGCAACAGGACACCTTTAGACAGCTTGCCTCTTCGTTTTTCCTTTATCTTGTCTCGTAATTTACATATTAAAGAAGCATAATATTCGCCGTTCACGACTGTATTACGTTCTTTAAAATCCACCATCTAAATGCCTTGAAAATCCCAAAATATTGTGCACATCAGTTTTTTAGTCGATTGTTGCACCTTTGCCTTTCTAGGGGGCTTTTCACCCTTATAACGCTATTCCATTGACTCGCGCTTGCTTTGTGGATCATAATACAAGATCATAGTTTCATCACCAGTCACTAGCCGCTCGATCACAGTCTTTGGATTTTCGCCACAAAGATCCAAAAACTCCGAAGCGCAGCGCACTCTTTCCTGTCTCTGTACCGCTGAAAGAAGTTACGGTACCCATCTTGCACTCACTTTTTTCATGTGAAGATGTTCCATGGATCGCGCGATGAACGGTACTATTAGAGAGCCCAAGCCTTGCTGCAATTTCTCTAATCTTCAAACGGCGGTCACTCAGAACCTCCTCTTCGATAAGAGCAATCGTTTCGGGAGTGAGCACTTCCACAGGTCGACCGTCGTGGCCAAAGTCTTCGACGGTTTCTCTCCCGAGGCGAAACTCTTTCACCCAATTTTTCACTGTGCTATAGAAGGGGGCAGACTCCTTATACACGCCATCCAATCGTTCTTTTATTTGGGCAAGGGATAAACCTTCTTTAAACAGAAACTTTATGACACTTTGATACTCAGTTCTCGACATTTTGAAAAAATACGCGACTCTCGTTATTCAAATGGCTGTTAAACTAAGACTAAGCATTTCATGTCAATGCATTTTTCTTATAATAAGTGCACGATAAACGAACTATTTAATGCAACACAACATGTAGCGACATGTCGCGTTGAACTATATCAGGCCAGTTCATTATGGGACCGCCTGGTATATGCAATCAAGAGTAAAGCCTTTTTTTGGCCTCAAACAGGTTTGTTTTTTGTTAATCATTTGTTATTGCCTGTGCTATCTAAAATAAATATTTCTTTCATTCTATAAAAATGTTTTGTAAGACGGTACGATAGTAGAGATCTGACATTTTTAGGTATATATTCAAAGAGTAAAATAAGATCTGCTTTCCTGAGTAGGAGTTATCCACGACTGTAACAAATTAATCATTGAAGTAGATGCTTGTTCCAATGAATGTATAGGTAGGTTTCTGGGTATCAAAAATAAACAATTGATACATCGTTTGTTATGCCGGGTGACTGACGGTGTCAATCGGCCGACTCCACGACTCGACATATTTGTACAATTAAATACACAGAAAAAAGTTCACAAAATACTAACAAGTTCTACTTCTCAACACACAATTCAATAACTAACTAATCTCAACTCTCAAAACACAGACAGTTGTATTTGTTAGAACAAAGATAGTGCGTGATCAGCACAAAGGTCAGATCGTAGACAGAGAAACCTATAGACAAATTGACGCCTTCTTTTGCATTCGCACACAAAAAAGATAGATTTATGCATACGTCTTGCATAGAAATGAGACAGAGCGGTGTGATTGTTTGTCCCTTTCTCCGTGCCGATTTTTTCACAACAACTTTGACAGTTCGTAGCGATCTAAGGAGTTACAAGTTGGTTTAAGTGAGAAAGAAAGTGTTTTGTGAGCTAAAGATTGGTGAATATTGTTCAGTTCAGTTCTTAGAACAATTAAAAAATTTATCTAAATATGTTTAAAAGTCATAAAGTATATTGTATAACCTAAAACTACGTTATCGTTCTTTCTCACTCGAGGCCACGCTAATCATTAGTCTGTAGGTTTTTCTTTCTACGGGTCAGATGCACTTTAAACATTCATCATTTATAAGATTTTTTTATTTAACTGGTTTTACGGTTCTGGGTTCTAGCCCTTCTGAGCCTATCATTTCTTTCGGAATCTTCAATTTTGTATATTTTTTAAAACCGTATGGATATTGTTTTAAATGGAACATGGAGCGGTTGAGCTGTTGTCAAAATCTCCTAAGAACTTCGCAATGTGACGCATCAGCATATTGTGAAGAAAAAATATATAAAAATGAAGATTTCGAAAGATATGATATGCTCAGAAGGGCTAGACTCCAGACCCGTAAACCAGTTAAATAAACATAAAAAATAATACAATATCAATATCCATACTTTTAAACTCAAAAAAATTCCCAGTTCAAAAATCAAATCCCCGGACGCGTAATGCCATATTCTGCCATGTCTTGGTGCGGAAAATTACGACACATCTTCTCGTCAGGTATACCTCAATCTCTGAAAACTAGATTGTACAACCAGTGCGTGTTGCCAGTGATGACTTACGGATCTGAGACGTGGTCCTTCACTGCTGGCCGTATGAGGACGCTCAAGTTCGCTCAGCGAGCTATGGAGAGGGCTATGCTCGGAGTTTCTCTGCGTGATAGACTCAGAAATGAGGATATCCGCAGTAAAACCAGAGTGACCGACATAGCTCAACGGATTAGTAAGCTGAAGTGGCAATGGGCCGGCCATACAGCTCGAAGACCCGATAACCGATGGAGAAGAAAGGTTCTCGAGTGGCATCCTCGTACCGGTAGGCGTAGTGTAGAGCGACCCCACACTAGATGGAGTGACAACCTGGTAAGATATGCAGGAAGTCAATGGATGCAGGTGGCTCAGGACCGTGCTTTGTGGCATTACTTGGGGGAGGCCTATGTTCAGCAGTGGACTTGTGAAGAGCTGTAATGATGTTGATGATGATATATGCGCCGTACGCGTTGCCTTTTAGAATTCGTTGTATAAAATTATATGAAACCTCGCACATTACAACTGCACCGTTTGCGCCGTATTTTAGAATTCGTTGTATGATTAATTTAAGTTCAAAAACAATATTATACAACTGAAACTGAAAGATTTTTATTCAATATAGTTTATAAATAATACTTATTGAAAGACACTTTTATAATAAGTATTATTTAAACCTAATACTGTTTATAAATTTTTCTATTTGTACTTTTTCAACGAGCTTTCCTCTGGTTCAATTGGCTTCCTAAATCTTGAGTTTTCCATAGAGAGATCTGAGACGTGCTCCTTCACTGCTCGCCGTATGGGGAAGAGAGGCCTATGCTCGGGGTTTCTCTATGTGATAAACTTAGAAATAAGGATATCCGCAGTCGAACCAGAGTGACCGACATATCCCAACGGATTAGTAAGCTGAAGTGCCAATGGGCCGGCCATATAGCTCGAAGAACCAACAACCGATGGGAAAGAAAGGTTCTCGAGTGGAGCCTCGTACTGGCAGGTAAAGTGTAGGGCGTCTCCCCACTAGATGGAGTGCCGAGGTCGTCATGTCTTACCAGGTGTAAGACATGCAGGAAGTCGATGAATGCAGGTGGCTCAGGACCGTGCTTTGTTGCATTGCTTGGGGGAGGCGTAAGTTCAGCCGTGGACTTGTGAAGGGCTGTAATGATGATGATGATGATACTAAAATATGGTATTACGCTACCATCGTATGGTATGGTATGGTGTTATATGGTATTACACGCATTACTGTGTAGTGGTGCTGTAAGAATATCTACTACCCCATATTATCCTCCTTATCACGCCCCTTGGGTGTGATAAGGAGCGACGATACTTTTACATGCTTTTATATAACAACTGTTATCCAATGGTAGATATTTTACGATTGTTTATATATTTGATGTAGAAGGATGACAACACTTGAATTCATTCCAGATCGTTTAACAATTATTGCTTGAAGTATATTATGATATGTAAATGTTGTGCAATTTTGTATATTATTAAATGACTATGCATTTTTGAACATGATGAAACATAGAAATCTCAAGTGTTTATCCGCTTTGGCGGCTTGAGATACTATCGTCATTAATTGTCCACTGAGTTAAGCTATCAGAAATCTCTTAAAAACTTGGCAGTCATTAAGTAATTTTGTATTAAAAAAATTGCACATCAGACTAGGCTGTATGATCGGAGACCCTTGCCTGCCTTAATAGGTAAATCGTAAAAACAACAATCTAAATAACCAACTCCATTTATTACGAACGTTGGGATTATTTAATATAAGTTAAGTTAACATGTCACTTCTTTCCATACATTTTAATTTTTGTTTTTATTTTAGCAAGTTACACCCCCCTGTGATCTATACCACTCTTTTACAATGTTGCTGTTGATGTGCATTGTATGCGTGTGCGTGAGCATGTATATGGGTGCACAAAATATAAATAAATTTAAACATTCATTAGCTTGTGTCATGTGTACATATAACCACAACAGGTGCGTGCGGTTGTTTGCGGCGGTTTAGCCAGTGGAGCAGCGCTGCGTTTATTGCGCCGCGGTGCGTCCGCCCTGCGTGCGCGACAGTACCAGCTGCTGTGCGTCACCGGCCTGCTCACCTCCGACAGCGAGTACGAGGTACGTGCACAGTGCACAGTACCAGCTGCTGTGCGTCACCCACCTGCTCACCTCCGACAGCAAGTATGAGGTACGTGCACAGTGCACAGTACCAGCTGCTGTGCATCACCGGCCTCCTCACCTCAGACAGCGAGTACGAGGTACGTGCACAGTGCACAGTATCAGCTGCTAAGCGTCACCGGCCTGCTCCCCTCCGACAGCGAGTATAAGGTACGTGCACAGTGCACAGTACAAGCTGCTGCGGTGCGTCACCGGCCTGCTCAACTCCGACAGCGAGTATGAGGTACGTGCACAGTGCACAGTACCATCTGCTGTGCGTCACCGGCCTGCTCACCTCCGACAGCGAGTATGAGGTACATGCACAGTGCACAGTACCAGCTGCTGTGCGTCACCGGCCTGCTCACCTCCGACAGCGAGTACGAGGTACGTGCACAGTGCACAGTATCAGCTGCTGTGCGTCACCGGCCTGCTCACATCCGACAGCGAGTACGAAGTACGTGCAAAGTGTACAGTACCAGCTGCTGTGCGTCACCGGCCTGCTCACCCCCGACAGCGAGTACGAGATACGTGCACAGTGTACAGTACCAGCTGCTGTGCGTCACCGGCCTGCTCACCTCCGACAGCGACTACGTGGTCCGCGCACAGTACAGCAGTACCATCTGCTGTGCGTCACCGGCCTGCTCTCCTCCGACAGCGAGTACGTGGTCCGTGCACAGTACACAGTACCATCTGCTGTGCGTCACTGGCCTGCTCTCCTCCGACAGCGAGTACGAGGTACGTGCACAGTACACAGTACCGTCTGCTGTGCGTCAACGGCCTGATCACCTCCGACAGCGAACACGAGGTACGTGCACAGTGCGCAGTACCAGCTGCTGTGCGTTACCGTCCTGCTCACCTCCGACAGCGAGTACGTGGTCCGTGCACAGTACACACTACCGTCTGCTGTGCGTCACCGGCCTGCTCACCTCCGACAGCGAATACGAGGTACGTGCACAGTGCACAGTACCAGCTGCTGTGCGTTACCGTCGTGCTCACCTCCGACAGCGAGTACGTGGTCCGTGCACAGTACACAGTACCGTCTGCTGTGCGTCACCGGCCTGCTCACCTCCGACAGCGAATACGAGGTACGTGCACCGTGCACAGTACCAGCTGCTGTGCGTTACCGTCGTGCTCACCTCCGACAGCGAGTACGAGATACGTGCACAGTGCACAGTACCGTCTGCTGTGCGTCACCGGCTGGAAGGTTTGGTCGGATCACAGGAACCTGACATAAACTTCTTGAAGTTTAGATTGTTATGTAGGCTGTATATTTTATATAACTATCAGGCTTATTAACCGTTCGTTACTAACAGCAGCTCTGTGATTTCAAACACTGCCCTAGTATGTGGATTATTTGTTTGACGTGTCGTCATGGAAGTGACTTATCGGGCATCCATACTAATATTATAAATGTGAAAGTGTGTTTGTTTGTTTGTTTGTTTGTCCTTCTTTTGACGTCGCAACAGAGCGTCGGCATGAATGAATTTTGGTATGGGGATAGTTCGGTGGCTGTAGAGTGACATAGGTTACTGTTTTCCGCGGAAAAACATTTTGAAAATTTATATGTTTTTTTTTTTTTTTCCTGTCACGCTTTCACCCTTAACTATCACTTAACTGTGGTAGAAACAGTTCTTAGTAAGCCTTATTAATAAGCCTTAGTAATATTTATTTAACGGAAATGAATACAGTTCTTATATGTGGTTATGAATGAATCGGTATTACAATAAGAAAAATTGTGCAAAATTATAAGAAAAATATTTTTTGAGAGTTCTTATTAACTAACATATACATAGTTTAAATTGATTCCGCTAGATGTCGTTACTAGGTTTTTAAAAAGCGGTAACGAAATGTTTCCTGACATGTACTTAACTCCCGCCGTTGAGCCGCGCGTCAACTTATAGTGCATACGGTACCTATACGCTTTAATTGTTTCTATTTCGTAGCTTATTCGGTTGTTTATTATTTGCTTTGTGATTTGGTTAAGTTTGAATGGATTTATATTGGCTTTCATTTTCGGATTTGTGTATTTTCTTGGATCGGTTTTGATGATTTGGTTGGTACTTGGTATGCTTTTATACGTATTTAGACTCTGGCTTTGATTTTGGATTTTGTTTATTTAGAATCGTGAATTGGTTTTCGTTGTTTTAGGTTGTTTAACACTATTTCAAAGGAAGATTAATAGTATAGATAGTGTATACGGTACCTATACACTTACTTCTTTTTTCGTTGGTTATATTTGACTACTGCTTTCGATTTCGGTTTTCTGCGATTTTTTTTTTTGTGATTTGGTTTAAGTTGATTCGATTTTTTTGGCTATCGTTTTCGGATTCGTGTTGTGTCTTGAATTGGTTTTGTTGTTTTGATTTTAAAAAATATTTAAAAGGAATATTTATTCCTTTTTTTTTGGATGCTTTTAAGGAAATTTAATTCCTTTTAGGTATTTCAACGATTTTTTATAAATAGGTTTTTTGTTACTTCATAATGGCTCGCAAACGTAAGTCCAGCCTTTCGAGAGTATCTTCTCAAAGACAAGCAAAAAAGATTAGCTCGATCGCTAGAATCTTTAGAAGATGCTGAACTGAGAAGGCAAGAACAAACAGAGCGTCAGGCTGCTTTTAGAGCATCTGAGACACCTTCTCAACGTCAGCAAAGGCGTCTTGTACAGACAGAGCGTCAGGCTGCTTTAAGAGCTTCCGAAACACCTTCTCAAAGTCAGCGAAGGCGTCTTGAACAGGCAGAGCGTCAAGCTACTTTAATAGCTACTGAAACACCTGCTCAAAGTCAGCAAAGGCGTCTTGTACAGACAGAGCGTCAGGCTGCTTTAAGAGCTTCCGAAACACCTTCTCAAAGTCAGCGAAGGCGTCTTGGAACAGGCAGAGCGTCAAGCTACTTTAATAGCTACTGAAACACCTGCTCAAAGTCAGCAAAAGCGTCTTGAACAGGCAGAGCGTCAAGCTATTTTAAGAGCTACTGAAATACCTGATCAAAGTCAGCAAAGGCGTCTTGAACAGGCAGAGCGTCAATCTACTTTAAGAGCTACTGAAACACCTGCTCAAAGTCAGCAAAGGCTATTCGAACAAGCGGAACATCAGGCCGCCTTAAGAGCCGCGTAAACACCTGATGAAACTCAACGCAGACTCATTGAGCAAGCTGAACGTCAATCTACTATAAGGGCATCTGAAACACCAGAACAGACACAGGCGCGAAGAGATGCAAATGCACAGCTCGAAGCTTAACGTCGACAAAATTTTCAAAGAAACAATTGGTCGGTTTTTAATGATGCAGCATTCAATTATGATCTGTTGATTGATTATAAAAATCACAGGTTGGTTGTTATCGGATCGATGAACAAGGCGTGTCGATTTTGCAGCGCTTTAAAATGGAAAGATGAGACCGCAGGCATGTGCTGTTCCAATGCTAAAGTGTCTCTTCCGTTACTTGGGGAACCAGAAGACCCTTTGAAAACTCTCTTTTTATATGATGCTAATGAGTCACGGCGCTTTTTAAACAGGATCCGGAAATATATGTCATGCTTTCAAATGACGTCCTTCGGAGTTGACCGGAAAATAATAATGCCGGGATTTTCGCCTACATTTACGGTGCAAGGGCAAATTTATCATAGAATAGGTTCACTTTTTCCAGCTGAAAACGAACAGCATAAATTTTTACAAGTATATTTTATGAGTGACGAAGAAATTGAAGTAGACCGTCGCTGCCAATTGATCCAGGGAGTTGAGAGAGACACAGTGTTCAAAATTCAAAGATTCTTGCATGAACGTAACATTTTAATCAAAACTTAAGTTAGTTTTAGTTAAAATTTAAAACTGCTTTAGAAAACCTACCTGAAGAGGATTATAAAGTCGTCATTCACGCAGATCGGACCCCTCGAGGAGAGCATGAAAGGCGCTACAATGCACCTTTGATAAACGAAATAGCAGCCGTAATTTGTGGTGATCAATTTTCTTCACGAGACATTGTCTTGCGAGCACGTGATGATACGTTCCATCGGGTAGCCGATACACACAAGTTTTATGACGCTCTGCAATACGCATTGATTTATTGCAAAGGACAAGTGGGTTATCATTTTCAAATTCCACCCATTAACCCGGTCACAAAGGAGCCTACTCCGAACAAAAAAGTATCATGTATGGATTTTTATGCGTATCGTATGATGTTGCGAGAAAATGATTTTAACCTCTTAGCCCGGTGTAGACAATTATTTCATCAATTTTTGGTAGACATGTATGTGAAGGTAGAAAGTGAACGTCTCCGTTATATATCTTTAAATCAAAAAAGCTGCGCGTTGAGAATTATATACATTTACAAGATGCATTTTCTAGCGACGCCAATGTAAACCCCAGAGATTTTGGTAAAATGGTAATTCTGCCCTCATCATTCGTTAACAGTCCCAGCTACCTACATGAGTACACACAACACGCATTCGCCTATGTACGAACTTACGGAAGACCTGATCTTTTTGTTACTTTTACTTATAATCCCACATGGAAAGAAATAACCGAGGAGCTAATGCCGGGCCAAAAAAGTACTGACAGACACGATTTAGTTGCTAGAGTATTTAGATTAAAATTACAAAAAATAATGTATGTAATTAACAAAGGGAAAATTTTCGGAGAGGTGCAGTGCTTCATGTATTCAATTGAATGGCAAAAAAGAGGATTACCGCATGCCCACATTCTAATATGGCTTAAAGAGAAGTTGCGGCCCAGCCAAATAGACGACATAATAAGATTCCGGATCCTGAGCACGATAAAGGATTGTCCGAAATGTGATTCACGGTCCATGTGGAGCACGAAATTCAATATCGCCATGTATGAGAGAAGGAAAATGTACAAAGCATTAAGAAATTCCCTAAACAGCTATTAAAAGAAACAGTGCACAATGACAATGGCTACCCTTTATACAGACGCAGAGCTCCCGAAGACGGTGGCAGGAAAGTTACAATCAAATCTCGCTCTGGAGCGTTCGATACCTTAGATAACAGCTGGATTGTCCCGTATTCGCCCATTCTATGTAAAATGTTTAATGCCCACATTAATGTAGAAGCATGTAGCTCTGTCCGCGCAATCAAGTATATCTATAAGTACTTAAATAAAGGAAGCGACCAAGCAATATTTAATCTCAGGAGTGAAGGTGAGGCAAATCCCGTTAACGAAGTACAGACCTTACAAGCAGGGCGTATATATATATATATATATATAATTATATTTTTTTTTTTTTTTTTTTTATATATATTTTATATATCGGTAGTAACGAGGCAGCGTGGCGTCTCCTTGGCTTCCCTTTACACGAAAGGCACCCAACAGTTTTTTTTTATGTGCGAGCAGCTATGCAGGTCTAGGTAAAGAGACCAGTATCACTGCAACCTAGAAGATCTATTGTGATCGCTGCTATGGCTATAGTTTACTGCTAAGCCCTATGTCTGCCCTATAGCCCTGTGTCTTCAATGTATTGAAGGAGTTGCTTAGCCGTGAGCAATTTCACTTCTTCTGGGCGGAGTACATAGTTTCCCAGATGAGTGTTACGTTTGCGCATTAAGGGTTCGCAATCGGTTAGGATGTGTAGAGGTGTTTCTTCCGTTATGGAACAGAACCGACACATCCTTGAATTGCGTAGTCCCAGGATGGACATGTGCTTTTTAAGACAACAGTGTCCAGTTAGGGCTCTTGCCAGAATGCGCAATTTATTTTTACTTAATCCCAGGGCTTCTGAAGCGAATTTACGATCAAAAGCCCGGATTAAGGTTTTAGAATGTTTTAAGCCTGGTGTGTCAAACCAGATCTTAAGTGATTTATTGTGATAAAGAGTTTCAAGGGTCAATCGGGCTAGGCTTCTTGAAATTCCACAAAATGGCTCGGGTCCAAATTGTGTGCACTTTGAGCCCTCCCGTGCGAGTTTGTCGGAAAATTCGTTGCCTACAATGCCCTCGTGACTCGGAACCCATCTTAAAACGAACCTGTTGTTACAACCCAGGGCGTTTAAACGGTGCACGCAGTCTCCAACTAGCTTTGAGTTCACTAAGTTTGATCTCAGCGCTAGCAGTGCTGCTTGACTATCAGAGTTTATGTAAATTTTATGGTTGACGTGGTGTTTTTGCAGATTAATTTCCGCACACCGAAGTATGGCGAAAATTTCTGCCTGGAAGATAGAGGTGTATCTACCCAAATTCATACTAAATTTGAATTTGGGACGTTCCCCGTAAATCCTACGTCGAGGCCCATTTTAGACCCATCGGTATACCATATGAAGCTACCGACCTCACAGATAACCTGGCCATT